CGTGATATCAAGCCCGCTTTGCTGTACTAGTTCGGACTTTGGCAATACTAGTAAGACATCCTGGCGCACTAGTACGCGACTAGGTTGNGACTTTGGCAATACTAGTAAGACATCCTGGCGCACTAGTACGCGACTAGGTTGCACTAGTACTGCAAAAATGCGTACTAGTCAACTTTTTCATCAACTTGTTAACGTGTGGGCCTGAAATTTGCTGCACTAGTTAACTAGTAAGGCTTAAAATGCTTACTAGTAGCACTAGTATAGTATGTTAACACACTATCGATGGAGCAGTAATAAAAGGCTTTGAGCAGCTCTGCAGACAGATTGTTCTTCCTCAGTGTCTGTAAAAAATACAGCCGCTGATGAGCCTTTTTTTTTACCAGAGCAGATGAGTTGATTGACCATGTGAGGCTCTTCGCTGATGTAAATCCCCAGGAGCTTGAAGCTGGTGACCCTCTCTACTTCCTCACCCCTGACAATTAGGGGAGCGTGGTCCTCACATTGTTTCCTAAAATCAACAATGATTTCTTTGGTCTTCTTGATATTTAATTTGAGGTTCTCGTCCCCACACCAGTCTATCAACCTATCTATTTCCTTTATATATTGTGTTTCGTTATTGTCTGAAATCAGTCCAACTACTGTTGTATCATCTGTTTACTCTCTTACCTTCTGGGAGGCGCTACAGGGCTCTCAAAGTCCGCACCTCTAGATTTAAAGGACAGCTTTTTTTCCAAGGGCTATAACTGAGCTGAATAAATCTAAACACTGCCCCCTCCCCACTGTGTTATATTCAGCTGCAGTAAATATGCAATAATGGAACAGTTCGTGCAATAAAATATAGGAGATGCTTTTATTCATGTTATTGTTTTAGATTTTGGTTTTTAAATCAATTTAGTCAGTGCTGTGAGTCTTCACCACTTCAAGCCTTATTTGCTCCCCGAGAAGGACCAGACTCACAGAAGAACATGTTGACATGTTGGTGTTTCTGGCAAAAAATGTACAACTTGCCAAAAAACATCATAAGAACATAAGAAATTTACAAACGAGAGGAGGCCATTCGGCCCATCAAGTGTAATGTGGTTGCCATGTGCTACATAGTAGTAAGTGCTACTGCAATGTCTTAAACTTACAGTACACTGTTACTGGAACATGCTATATTTAAAGTTTTTTGATATATTGTGCTAACTTTATCGTCAGAAGAAAACTGTATCTCTGCAGAAGCTAATAGACCTGTAAGATATTTTATTTATTTTACAATGTTAATGGCATTTCTTTCTATTTATTGGGTTTATTTTTTCATCGTATTGTTTGCCTTTTTATTTTTTCTGGTGGTGTTCTGACTTTATTAAAAAAAAAAAAAAAAAAGTTTATATTTTCTCCCTCTGTAGTATCGAAAATAGTATCGAGTATCATCCTTAGTATCGGTATCGAGTTTGAAATTTCAGTATCGTGACATGCCTACTAAGATCAGAGCAGA